GCTTTCCTTTAATGTTTATTTATTTTTGAGGTGGGGGGAGGGGCAGAGAGAGAGAGAGAGAGAGAGGAGACACAGAATCCAAAGCGGGCTCCAGGCTCAAGCTGCTTCGGCCTGAGCCAGTCTACAGGGGGCCAGACCCACAAACCCGATGAGATAAAGTGACTCATGAGATCAGGCGCTTAACTTGGCTAAAACCACCAGAAGCCCCGGGTTGTTCCAGAACTCAAAGCAGTTGTCCCGCTGACCTCACCGGCATTGCCGGCCTGCCTGGCGGGGGGGGGGAAGACAAGTTGATGTAAACACCTGCCGGGAGTCTTGCGCTGCCCCCAGCACTGTGGTCTTTGCTTCTCGGAGGCCACCGGCCTCCCTCATCCACTGTCCTGTCAGGGGACACCTCGCCAGAGAGCCGAGACATGGAATGGCGTGCTCTCTCTTCTTGACACACCAGCAGGTTTCTCACCGTGACCTTTCGGGGACCTTTCCACATGCTGCCACCAACGATAGTGGTCACATATTTGTTCCACATCTGCATTTCCTTAGGGCCGGTCACCTTGCCTTTCACCTTCAGCTTCTGACAACCACCCAGGATGCATACAGAGGCCTGCTTTCCCGTGGCCATGGGCCCTGGTGCCACCCTGGCCCGGTTTCAGCGAGGAGGCCCTAAGGGACCTCTCAGTTCTGCTGCGAAGGATCCTGGGGCTTCTGGGGCAGAGAACCTAGCCGAATGTGCTGAACAGAGCTGTGACCAGCAGAGAGGGGCCCCGGAGCGGCTCATACTGTGAATTCCCTCCTTGCCACCACGCGTGAAAAATCTCATCCAGATAAAGCCGGTTACACTAAAATATCATGCGGCTTGACAGGGAAAAATGTTCCCCAAGGGGCAATGCGAGAGGGATCTGGAGGGAAAGAACAGCCCGTCTACCTTCCGTGACAGCAAACGTTTCGTGCTTTGACGCCCTCCCTCTCCCGCTCCTTTCTCCATGTGTCTTCCTCCTTCTCTCGGTCTTCTCCGTTCTGCGCCCCTCCCTGTCAGCCCCAGCTGTGGCACACGCCCCTGCTGTCCTCGGCTTCCGGTCCAGGTAAGCAAGCCAGCATGTCCCAGAGATGTCACGGAGCCCTTCCCCTGCAGGGGCGGCTCAGCTCTGTTAGATTCACTCGTTTATTCAACAGTAGACAGCGGGCACCTGCTCTGTGCCAGCAAGGGCAGTAGGTCCTGGGAACAAACAAATTAGAGGGACAACTTGATGGCTCTGGGGGAGATGGCCCCACGGGATAGGTCTGCTGGCACCAACACAAATTCCTAAGTCCCTTCTCTGTAAACCTGGTTCCAAGATCCTGGGCCGCACTCAGGGATCTGCATTTTCTTTCTTGCTTTCTTTCTGTCCATCTGTCTCTCTTTTTTTAAATGTTTATTTATTTTTGCGAGAGAGAGAGAGAGAGAGCATGTGAGTGCAGCAGGGGAGGTGGGGGGCGCAGAGGATCTGAAAGCAGGCTCCATGCTGATAGCACAGAGCCTGACTCGGGGCTCGAACTCACGAACCGTGAGATTGTGACCTGAGCCTAACTCAGACGCTCAACAGACTGAGGTACCCAGGTGCCCTAAGAATCTGCATTTATCTAAAGAGCCGTCCTGGTGATGCTGGTGCCCCTGGGCCAGTCTCAGAGAAACATTCTTTCACCCATGGGGTTGTGCCCAGAGCCACCCGTCCAAGCGTGTCTGTTGACTGTGCCATCTGATGTCGGCTGCCTTGCTTGCCCTCGAGGGGTTAGAAAGTACAGCATCTTGGAGCAGGAGTTCATTACACGTGTCTGTGAAGGTTGGGAACTTGGCGATGCTGAGCACGGGCTTTGGGGAGATTGCCTTAGCATACCCGAATTTCTTGATGTGCTCAGCACTTGCTCTCAAAATTGAGGTGGCCCGGGTGCTGCCTCATGTTCCCCCTCCTCTGCAGACCCCTGCACTTGGCTGCACTTCTCCAAGTTGCTGGCAATTTCTCTATCACTGGGGGGGAGGGGGGGGCCTGGCTTTTAGCTCTCCCGGAATGACCCTCCCCTGCAGTTTGCCCCTCCTGGCTGTGTGATAACACATCCTCCACCCCTGCTCTCCCACATGGTGGTAGGAGGAGACAGCCCGTGTTATCATCACTGGTTGCGTAGAACAGAAAACTATCTAACACGGTTTGAGTCAAGGAGGTAGAACAGAGTGACGTGGGGGGTCCCACGTGACCCAGGGGCAGCGAGCAGAGCCCGGGCCTGTCAGCTGATGGGAGGCCAAAGTCATTAGGCAGTCCCTCGCCAGGGCCTCACACCCCCACCGGACGTCTATGTCCTACCTCCGCACAGTCGTGCACTTACGCGGGGGCCCCTGCAGCTGCCCCAAAGTGGCGCCCTGAGTCCTACAGACGAACGAGACCAGCAGCCTCCTGATTCCAAGTCTCAGGAATACCGTGATTCGGTGGACCCAGTTTGGGGTTTGGTGCGCATTCCCGGTTTAGGTCACTGAGCTCGGGGAGGGTGGGCTCGCATAGTGCTTTTCCATTCTGGGAGGGGTGGTCAGCTGCCTCTCTCTGAGGGGCGCGGGGCTGGGAGAAAATGAGCAAGTGACGTGCTTCCTTTCCCTGGTGTAGCGGGCATGGCAGAGGGTGGCGTCCCATATATAGAGGTGTGATTGGCATATGATTTGTGGAGACAACATTATGGATGGGCCTCACAATGAGAGGGCAAAGGAACAGCATTCACGGAGCCCCTCCTGTATGCCGACTGTATCTCTTTTCACAGCAGTACTCTGTAGGGACTTCTCTGGGGTCCAGAGCACTCCATTAACATCCCATAAGTACGGTTTCCAGTGGGGTGGTGCCGACATTCACACCAGGCTGATCAACTCCGAGCACTGATTTTTCCAGTGTTCCAGCAAAAAATGTTTGCTTAATAAATGGCTGTAATGAAAAGAGTAACAACCGAGGGATGTTCCATGGAGTCAGAGATCTGGACATTAAGGTGAGAGTCAGGTTCAAAACCAGGAGCCACTGAAGATCTGACATTGAGGTTTATGGTTCGGCTCAAGAGAATTCCGTCGAATTAATACTTCCTGGTGGCCCCAGTGGGGTTTCACCTGCCTGCCTGTCTCTTTTCTCGAGGAAAGCATCTCAACAGCATCTCTGGCCTTTGACAGTGTGGGCGTTTGCCGGCTCCTCTCCGAAGACTTTTCTGGAGAGTACAGTGCAGCAGAAGGGCCACGGTCAAGGACTTTGAAGTTTGATGGGTCCTCAGCCCTACCCTGTGACTCAGGTCACCAAATATCCACGGGCCTCAGCTCTTCCGTGGCGATGGCCCCACCTTCTTCCCAGGGCTGTGGAGGTTTTTAAACGAGACGGTGCCTGAAGAGGGCTTTGCCCTTGTGCTTGAGGCTCCTTAATTGCTTAATAAATGGCTGTGATGAAAATAGTAACATTAATCATAGTACGTAATATTATTAGTATATAACAATATTAATTTGTTATTAGACTTAGAGTTGCTTGAACATGGGAAGTATGTTGTGTCTTTCTCTCCCTGCTACAGCACTGGTAAGAGGCCTTAGATATGGTAGGTGGGAGAAAATATTTGCTGAATGAATTTATTATACGGGGTGCCCATAAAGTCTAGAAGCAGAGGCGAAAGGGCAGAGTCCAGGATCGGCTGGTATGACCCCGCAGTACACGATGTAATACTATATAATACCAGACAATATGTAATGTATCGGCATGCCGTCTGCCCTTAGAAAGCGTGGTTCTGTGCTTCATGGGGAATTGCAGTGAACGTGGTAGATTAATACCGCAATCCTGTCAATTCCGCACATACGTCCTTGATATTTTGCTTCAGACGGTGTCTGTCTCTGATTTTCGGTGAGCCAACTCGTGCCTTTGGCCTGCCCTGGAAGACAGAATGAAGGGGGTCAATAGATACAAAAATAAAGACTGAGTCTTTGTTTCCGGACTTGATGGTCACGGGCCACCCTGCCGATCCTTTTCGTCTTTCCTGCTGGGCATCCCCTTCTCGGCGGGCGGAGGCGGTCTCTCTGTGGGCACCAGTGGCCTCCTGGATGAGTCTTCTCCCTTCTCGTTCCTCACCTCTGAGCTTCTCCGCAGCTGCCCAGGGATGCGCATCCCGTCACATGGCTGTTGCCAGACATACCATGAGAATCGTTCCCGTGTTTGCAGACCCCACGTGTCATGGGAGCCCATCCTGTGCAAGCCACCCAGAAGCTCGGTTGTCGCTAGGTGGTTTGGGTCCCCGAGTTGGTCTGAAGCTCAAACGGAGCTTTATGCAAAGAGGGCGTGTGGGAATCGAGGATTTCAGGGAAGCTACTTGATTTGCCGGAGTGAAATCCAGCACCTGTTGTGATGCCTTCTGGTTTTGTCACCTGAGTGGCTTCAGCTCCCCCTTTTTTCTTCATAGAGACGTAATTACCGTATAACGCTGTGTAAAGCGTACATGTTGACTCGATACATTTATACGTTGCAGTATATTATATATTGCATATAATATTATATATTGCATTATATATTGCATATATATTGCAATATTATATATTGCAATATGATTACCACCACAGCATTAGCCAACCCCTCTGTCACCTCACGTAATTATCATTTCACTTTGTGGTGAAAACATGGAAGATCTAATCTCTTAGCATCTTTGAAGTATATGGTACAGTATGCTTGACTATAATCACAATGCTGTGCATTCGATCTCCAGAACATACTCATCTTGCGAGTTTAGACCCTTTGACCAGCATATCCCCCACCCCACCCCCAGCCCCTGGCAACTACCATTCTACTCTTGGTTCCTCTGAGTCCACACATAAGAGACAACCTACGGTGTTTGCCTTTCTCTGTCTGACTTCTCTCACTTAGCGTGATGCCCTCAAGGTCCACCCGTGTTGTTGCAAATGGCGGCATTTCCCGCTTTCCCATGGCCGAATGATACGTCGGCTGACTGTGACTTCGTTCTCTCTCCTGCAGGACACCAGCCATGATTGGCTGCTCCTTCGTGGTCAACAGGAAGTTCTTTGGTGAAATCGGTCTCCTTGACCCTGGCATGGATGTGTATGGAGGAGAAAATATCGAACTTGGAATCAAGGTTTGTGCATGGCATCCTTTCCCCCTGGTTTATTCGTGTTTGTGAGCACCGCCGCCTGATCGTCCTTCGTGTGTGTTTTAAAGCTCCTTTAGCTGGTGAGTGGCAGGATCGTTCACCCATCCCCCTCTCCTGAGGATGTGCCAGCCCGGCTGTCCCAGGGGGAACGTGGGGAACCCTGGGCTTTCCCTTCTCCAAAGGTTGAACAATGTGTTTCACGCCTTGGCGACCCAGCTTGGACCTGAGCCGCAGAATTCGGTCCCCACATCCACCCAGTTTTGAGTCTTCCATTAAATGTTTCTTAAATTCAACTGTCTCCTTAAGTAGTATCCTATGGTATACATGTCGACGATTCAGGTACCTCACGGAATCATAAGATGCCAGAAGAGAGAAGGACCATGTTCTGTGGGACCCTTCCTTTCCTTAGAAATGCTTCTAAGGGGGAGGTTAGGGAAGGGTAATGATAGAACATTACCCAGATCAGCTTCACTGTTGAGATATTTTGGGTACAGTTGACCCTCCAACAACGTGGGTTTGAGTTGCACGGGTTCACTTACATGCAGACTTTTTTCGATAAATACAGTACAGTGTTGTAAATGTATTTTCTCTGCCTTAGGAGTTTCTTAATCAGGTTTTTTCCCCTCTGGCTTCCTTTGTTGTAAGAATACGGTATATAATACACATAACACAAAATATGTGTTAATCGGCTGTGTACATTATTGGTAAGGCTTCCGCTCAGCAGTAGGCTGTGAGTAGTTAAGTTTCTGGAAAGTCAGAGCTTGTACATGGATTTTCAACTGCACGCAGGTGGGTGGTCAGTGCCCTGAACCCCTGTGTTGGGTCAGTTGTACTGTGCTTTGCTCAAGATTTTCTTTGAAAAGCGAATTCCAGTGTAGAAAAAATAAAAGTTGAACACACTGATGCATTCCGACCTCTTTGTTTTAGAGTGAAGTCAAATGAACCCCAGCCAGGGGTTTGGCTTGGGTGGCTCCTTGAGGACCCAGTAACCACTGAACTGGTATGTCTTCCTCCATACCAAAAAGAGCAGGTGGTCTTTGTGTCCCTAGCTGGAGCCTCTGTGCCCACTGTCCTTTGTCCTGACCCTTTTCATGCCTGAGCCCCTGAGAATCAGGCTTGTTAGAAACAGCTCAGGACACAATACGAAGTTTTTAAATATATTGACTTTCCTTTGCTTTCCTCTTCTGCATTCCCGTTTTTGTTCTACCAGGCGGACACTCAGTCTGGATCCCCTACCCTCCTCAAAGCCTGCTCTCTATTTGACTCTCTCATCCCTCACTGCCCAATACCTTCCACCAGCCTCTCGTCTGTACTGGATCCCCCTTTGTGGGACGAAAGGCGTCATGCCCTCATGATGTAATGACCTCCTGGGATACATGAGTGAAAGGGGATGGTGAGGACGTTCCCTGGATCCTAAAATCGCTCCCTTTTGGAGACTGCAGACTCTTCCTGTGCTGTCAATGTCAAGCTGGGTTCTTTCCTCGATGGAATTTGCATAGGATTTCTTTGTAAAGCCCAGCAATTAAAAAGCCTATGAATATGATATTATAGCGAACACATTTGTCATTCATCCGTTTGGAATTTAATTGAAGGAAAAGATCTGGACCCAGCACGATGAACTTGGCCTGTGACTCAAACCTCTACCCGTCCTGTTCCTGTCCATTTCTCCTTGTTCTGTTCTGCTGCTTTGTTTGTTCTTTTCTTTTCTTTTTTGTTTTAAAGTTCTCACTGACCTGTAGCCTGCCATAGAATTTACTTACTTATTAGGAGTGTTGGTTTTCGTCGACCTTGCCTTCAGTAGATTGCCCTTTACGGGGCCCCGATCTTTGCTGTTTTCACCTTTGTGTTCCATGCATGTAGAACCATGCTTAACACATGGCCCGGTAGGTGTCTCTTAGGTTAATGCTTGAATGTCTGTTAAGGAATCTGTGATAACTTGTTCCAGGTACCTATCTGCAAAGGAAATGAGCTGATGGGAGCCCTGCCTTGAAAAAGTTAACCTTTTTTTTTGTTTTTAATTTTATTTTTATGATAAGAGAGATTTGAATGTCTCTATATGCTGTTAGAAGGAAGCCGGTGAAGGGTAAGACACCACCAAGAGAGGGGAGAACCAGATGATGGGGGGGAAACACTGCCCCTATGTGACCAGGCACATAGGTAGAGGAGTTATGGGGACAGGAGGGACTCCCAGATTGATTGCCACTGCCTGCTGTGTTCTGGGGGAAACAGAGGCTATGACAGCAGAATTCAGGGCTAAGGCTTGCTAAGACGTTGGTCTCCCCACATTTGCAAAAGTATTTGCTTTGCAGTGACTTGGAACTTGCAAAGGGCAGCGTGGGGGGCTCTGCCGGGCTCCGTGGAGATGGTGGTCCTGTGTGGCTGGCCCCAGCCATGAAGGGGGCAGGGGGTGTGTTGGCTTCCACCCCAAAGCACAGCCCAGGACACCAAAGCCGGCTGTACCACCATTCAGGGGCCAGTGGGTCCTACTCTGCATGCTCTCCAGGAACAGGCTAGAGTGAATGGCCCATGGAGTCTGCTCCCAATCCTGGCTTCCCTATGGTTCAGCTCCTGGCTGTTCTCTGCACGTCTTCATGAGCACTTCAGATGGATCGAGGCATGGATGCCACCCTCCTGTGCACTTACCTGCCGCTTACTGTATACCCAGGCATATCCAGCATCCACGCTGGAGGTGTGGGATTGTTTATGCCGTATTCCCGTAGATTATGTCGTCCTGCCAGTTGTGAGCTGACTCCACAGAAGCCTTGGTTTTCTGCCAGCTCTCTTTTTTTATGTTTATTTATTTTTGAGAGAGAGAGAGAGAGACAGAGACAGAGTGCGAGTCTGGGGGGGGGGGGGGG